CAGTTTGAAAATCGCTATATGCAAATGTACTGCTATCTTGTTACCAGTATATACTATGCAAGGGTGCTCTTGTACTGTGTATGTCACACAAGAACATAAATGCTAATCAGCTGAATTTCTGTGGATTTAAATAATTATCTGTAATTGCTTTAGGAAGAACTCTTTCTGCTTAATTTATGCCTTCTCTAGTCCCTTAATAATCTTTGTCGCTCTRTGCTGGACTCTGTGTAGAAGCTCCACATCACTCTTGTACTGGGGAGCTCAGAAATGCACACAATACTACACATGCGGCCTCAACAGAGCTGAGGAGAAGGSCAGAATCACCTGCTGGCCACACTCGTCCTCATGCAGGCCGGGATCCCATTTGCCTTCTTGTCCATGACGGCATATTTCTGCCTCATGGTGAACTTGGTGTCAACCAGAACTCCACAAATCCCTCTCCACAGATCTGCYTTTCAGTAGGTCGACCCCTAAGCTGTCCTGATTCCTGGGATTATTTTGCCCCAGGTGCAGGATCCTGCACTTGTCCTTGTTGAACCTCTCTGCCCAAATCTCAAACCTGTCTAGGTCTATCTGAATGGCAGTTTTTGGCAGTCCCTCTGGAGTGTTGACCACTCCATCCAGTTTGGTATCTTCCACAAACTTGCTCGGGCTGCACTCTCTCCCCTCGTCCAAATCATTGATGAACAAGTTAAACATTACTTGGCCCAGCAGTGATCCCTGGGAAACAGCCTCCAACCAGACTCAGCCCCATTTATCACGACCCTCTGAGCTCTGCTGTCCTGTCAGTTCTCAATTCATCTCACTGTCCCCTGTTCAAGAGAAGGCTGAGAGGAGACCTGATCAGTGTGTATAAATACCTTTACCCTAAGGGAGCGAGTCAGGAGGACAGGACCATCCTGTTTTCAGTGGTGGCCAGCAAGATGACGAGAGGAAACAGCCACAAACTAAAGCACCGGAAGTTCCACAGGAACTTAAGAAARAAAATCTTGACAATGGGGATGACAGAGCACTGGAACAGTGGGGTTCCAAGAGAGGYTGCACCAAGAGAGGTTTTGGAATCTGCTTCTCTGGAGATACTCAAAAATAACCTGGATGTAACCCTGAGCCACATGTTCTAGATGACCCTGCATATGCAAGGGTGTTGGATTAGATGATCTCTACAGGTCCTTTCCAACCTTAATAATTTTATGATTCTATGATTATATCAAGCAAAAAAAACAGTTATATTCATTCAGCATAGTATACTCAGGAGCAGATCTTCATTTCATGCTCAGGATATTGACCACCACTGCACATTAACCACTCACCTGATYGATTGATAAAGAAAATGCATGGTATAGACTGCCTGATTATGCATTCATAACTGTATTGAAGGTCCAATCTTATATCTTTTCATTCTTCTCTATCAATAGACTATTGATAGTGATTTGCAAATTAACCTTAGTTGAGCAGGATAACTTTGTTAATTGTAAATTAACCTTAGATGAACAGGTTAAAGAACATCACTTTTCTATAGATATTGTAGTATGTGAACTTTACTTCTTTACATCACTTTCAGCATGCCAGTCTAATCCTGCATTTTGGAGAGATCATTCCCTGGGGAAGCGCTAGGAGCATTTAGTTAAGAGAAGGTGTTATTGGCTGTCTGAGTAACCTAACACTGGCGTAGGAAGCATGGCTTTAATAGGATTGAAAATGTGTAAACTAAGTTGACTTTTTTATAACTTCAGTTTAGTAAACTTGCTTTCTACCCAGGTCTATCATTATCCTGCAGGCCTAACACTGGAAATGGAAGCAACTGATTTGTTTCCAATCCATTCTAACATTTATAATAATTCTGTCTTTCTCTAAAAAATAATTAGTCTAAATAGAGGGAGGTATTTTAATGTGCCTCAATTTGTCTGTCAGAGTACACATCTTAAAATAATCTATGCAACAACTAAAACTTACTAAGGATATTTTTTACTTCAAAAAGCAGCTTTAACGTCACTAGTTTTTTCCAGCTTAATACCTTGTCTTCTATGCTTCCTGAATGAATTTACATTCTCCTTTATTTGGTCCTTGAATTTAGAGCTGCTTTATGATTTAAACATGCCAACTCCCTTTAGGTATTTATATTTTTATCCTTAAAATTCTAAAATGATGGACAATGTAAATAGTTTTTCTAGAAATCCCTTTTTTATGACCTGTGGACCGATGGGGGAAGAAAAAAATCACTTCCTTCGACTGCTGTTCCTTAATAGGTTTAAACCTCAATCAGGAGGAAAAAAAAAAAAAAAACCTTCTTAAGCCTTCTTAACTAATACCATGTCATCTCTTTAATCATGCTGATTCTGAATAATTCAGCCACTATGGAAGTTGCAGGGCTAGGATCTATAGCTCTTTCTCTCACTGGGGGGAGTTTATTATTACTGAGTCTGACAGCAGAGAGCCCTGGCAGGTTAATTGCTGCAGCARGACTAGCTGGGAGTTTGCTGTTGATATATAGTGACTAAAGGGAGTGAAGGAGATTGACTATGCCTGTTACAGCACAAATATCTTCATGCGCCTCAGGTTCCTCAGAAAGATATGAGAAATAAATGTTCGCTGTTCATTTTCTGTCTGCACAATACAAATAGCCTCCGGCTGAACATGGCAACCGCAGCATACAGAATATATATAAAAAGGAGGAAATTCACAAATTAACATTATTACAGACATTCCTGCCTGAAAGTGTTGAAAATCAATTTCAATATAGTTTGCATTTTAATGAGGTGCCAAAGAGATAAATCAGTCCTGTTTGAGGAACACTTGGCTGGCAATGATGTTTTCTGATGATATCGTGTCTTAACTAATATTAGATTAAGAAAAACCAGTGTTAATTGAAGGCCTGGGAAATGTTACTTCTAGTTAATGAAGTAAACTCATGCTGGTTATATAGCATCATTAATCCAATTTAGACAGCTATTTCCCAGGAACAGCTGCCCCCTTCCTCCCTTCAAAAACTAAACAGTACTCAAATTTATCAACAGAGAATTCAACCTCTAAAAAGAGACTGATTTTTTTGAGGTTTGTACTGACTTTTTTTTTTCCATAATATTTTCATGTATTATAATGGCACGGATGTATTATTATAACTTAATATACAAAAATTCTCAACCTGCTTTTTTTTTCTCAAAATAGCAAAAAAAAAAAAAAATTCCTCTAAGAGAGCGTGTTGCTAATGTTTCTTTACCTTCTATATATCAAGAGAATAAGTAATCAATAACTGATCCTTCCTTCAAATATACTTCCCTTTATAGGAGTGGAAGAACATTTTCCATGGTGCTTGTTTGGGGGGCCTGCAGTCCTCTGTGCCTGGACTCCAGAAACTGACCTTTTCCCAATATTTTTTTGCTGTCCTTAACTGCTCTTCATGGTCTCAAGTCAGCTCTTTATTGTGATAATGAAAGCCACCAAGGAAATTCCTTTTCTGAAGATAATTCTGTGAGAAATATCATCTTTCAAATGCCAGATCACTACAGGAAACACAGCTGATTTTTTCTTTCATTTACATTACTTGGGCACTAGTGTGACTCTGTTCATTTCCATGGAGTTTTTCATCTTTAATGTCAATTAAAGAAGGAGGATCAAATCTACCCATCAGCACACATTTTTTTTTCTTTGGCCTTTTTTATTTTTTTCCATAGAGACGCCTTTGTTTTCTAGAGATAAGCTGGAGATATGCAATGTTTTAGAGTCACACAAAACAAAATTGGAAGTGCTGTTTTTCATGGGCAGTTTTTGGTAGACAGGGACTAGAACACACGCAAAACCTTGGAGTCTAAATCTTATATAATCCGCAAATCAACACATCAACTATTTAAAAAATACTTGCTTTATTTCTTATAATCTCAGAGTCTAATCCATAGAAAATACGTGAGATAAAAAACAAAAGGAATACTGTTGACTCTAGAAATAAGCCAGGAAAGTCACGGTGTAGGGTCTGCCTTGAAAAAAATAGGTGTTGTTTGTATTACTAGCAGGGATATGGTATAGAAAGAAATTGAATAGCATTAGTACCATTCTGAATACTCTATGCTGTCTTCCTCTACATCCAACTGGGCCAAAAGCTTCAAATCATGTGTCTATTCCTTTTCCTTCCTTCCTTCCTTCCTTCCTTCCTTCCTTCCTTCCTTCCTTCCTTCCTTCCTTCCTGAACTTAATCCATTTAATTGCTTTGTGTCTGCATTCTCCTTTTTGCTTCTTCCTTCAAACCGTTTCCCCTTTCCACTTTTGATTTGGTCCTGAAATTTTGGAAGGCTTTCTCAATGTGGTGTTCACCTCTTAACTCCAGACTACTGCTAGTGTCAAACTGTTATAAGAACATAGGTAATAACTGGTGTCTGTTGAAGTTATATAACTTGCAAAACAGTTGTTCAGTCTTTTCAAAGCCATTATCTCACATTATGCCCAATCTGTGTTGATGCAGATAGCAAGAAAGATATAAAATTTATTGTTCTAATCTGTGCTTTTCAGCACTGTAATTATTAGAGCAAAAAAGGGTCAGATGTCAGCTTCCTTTAAGTTATAAAATGGYAGAAAATGCTCTTCTTTCTGCTATTTGTGCTCTTATGTCCCTTAACAATGTTTACTTTGACCAACTCTCATTTAATATATTAGCACCCTGAACACAATCCTGACAGTCAAAAAGCAAAGTACAGTTCAGCTCTTTGTCCACACCCAGTGCGTATTCTAAGTGCATGCAGAAAAGAGGTGAAAGTGTAAGAATGGCTGTTGAAAAAGAGAGGCTCAGCCCCTTTAAAGCAAAACAATAAATAGGAATTAAAATAAAACTACAGCAAAGCAAGGCAAGACAAGACAACACAAGGCAAGAAAATCTGTCACAGTGTTTGCTTTAGATCACACACACAGAGTAAGATTGCTAGGGTTTTTGTTGTTGTTGTTTGTTTGTTTCTACATTAGAATATTATGTTCAAGTTTGACTTATTTTCTCACTGGAATTTTATTTGTTTTAGAGTCTGGTATGATTTCTGGTGTATGGTCAATTAGTTTCCCCATTTGTAGCACCAGAAAGACATAAGAAAAAATGTAAGTGATAAGAAGTGACAGAAAGGCTCAAAGGTAAGTGTGACAGCTTAAGTTGCTTTCAATCTTGTAATATAATTGACTAATTTAAAATTTATGTGGCCCACAAACTATCTTTCTTCACTCCATCCCTTTATTTTTAGGACTTTCTGGAAGGTATGTTACCAGCTATTACCTGACAATCTTATAACTCTTTCTAGATGCTCTTTACCACTTGTAGGGTACTATCACTGTGTTTTTGCATGACTAAGAGACATACCTGCTTTTACCATATGGTACTTTTTTTTTTTTTTTTTCGTGATATTGCTAAATAACTTAATCAAAGCAATCTTCAATAACACAACCTGTATAATTCATGGAATGGTCATTTTCTCACTAATTATATTTGGAGTGGAAAAATCGCAGAACCAAATTGTCCCTATTGTGCTTTAGCAGAAGGGATGATTTTCTTATTTCCTTCCTAAAATGAAGTGAGCCTCTCCATCTCCATCTGTGTCTTACAAAGCAGCTACCACAATGGGTCTAAATTGTGGCCCACTCCTGTGGCCCACCACTTTCTTTAACAGTAAGTCATTGTTTCAGAAGATACCACTTTGAAATGAATTAGGTTTGGCTCACAGTTTGTGACTTTTTCAGTAGTCAAAGTCCATTTTTTTTTAACAATGGAAAAAGAATTATTAATTATATTCATTTAACATTGATTCTGAATTAACTGCATAGTCACTGCCCTTCTAACACACTGATATTTCATGTGATGGATTCCATGACTGGGCATTTATTACATATTCTTTGTTCCCTCAGGTTTCTTCCCTATTTCTTAGCAGTCGCTCTCCCTGTCCTTGTAACTGGGTTATCACTCATGCTTCTTATATTAGCCCCAGGAAAGAGGACCAGACACAATTGTTTCCCTTGAAAGATGTGAGCTAGTGCTCTTGAAAAATGACAAAATCCTATTGTAACCATTTTGATTATCTAAACAATATTATTATTTGAAAAAGAAACACACAAGAGGAATATGCATTAATGCTGACATGGAATTTGATTACAGATTTAGATGTCTGAAAAAATCTGTGAACTAGACTGTAGACCAAAGAAATGAAAGGTAAGACATATATATCTCAATTAGGCACACAAAACTGTGTTGGTGTGACTCATCCAGAGAGTGTGTTGAATTTGCTTCTCCTTATTCTGTCATTGTAATGAAGCTTACAAATCTACTATTTTTGCATCTAAAGTAAGCTGATATACTCACAGGTCAGTTATCCTTTTAAGGAGAGGTGAAAAACACTAGCATCATAATACCATCAACATTTAATTCTGATATATGTTACTCTGACAAAATTATTGCTGATGTGACTTCAGAATCCCTAAATAATTGTTGAAGTATAGAATTGCTGGTACATCACTATGATTAATTCGGATGTGAAAGTGTGAAGAGCAGGTGCCTTATATCTTCCTTTTAGCATTCTACTCTCAAAGAGACTGAATAAGACTAGGAATTTAGAAATTTCATGTAATTGTGGAGGACCTGGAGAGTGGCAGTTCACCAAGTTCCACAGGAAGAAATATAGCAAAGGATTTTGGTGGTTTGGCTTCAATTTTTGTGGAAACATTGACTTTTTGTTATGTTTGTTTATCTTTAATTATTATGTTTGAATATCTTTATCTTGTTAAAACACCAAATAGTGCTCTTTCAGACCACAGAAAAGAAGAGCACAGTTCCCCTATTGTCTCCAATTCTTTACCAGTCTTTCAAAGAAATTCCCATAAAGACTTCCAGAARCTTTGGCTATGGGCCTGGATATGAACAGTGAAGGCCTCAGTTTTCCATGCTGTGTTCTTCATGCAGTGTTTTGGCTGTTCCCACCTCAGAAAAAATTGTCTTCTGTGAGACCGAAACATATATATTTTTTTCTACTTTCTCCTTGCAGTGTTAGATCTATTTCTCTTCTAATATTTCTCTCCTTCTCCTAACAAGCATGCAAAATAGTTGCATGCAAAGTAGTTGCCTTGATAGTGTTGCTGCCATTACATATATATATATATATACATTGCTATATATATACACAGCTAAGTGACTCAGTGACTTTTTGGTTTTTTTTTTGTCCATGGATGAGATACTCGTCTTGAACAGGGTGTGCCAAATCCTTCCTTTCTTCTCACAGTCTTCTATGTCAAAACTATGGTCATTGCTTCTGTGTAAAATGCTGTGCTCTAAGGTTCCCACTTTTGTAACAGTCATACTTGACAATACTTTAGTACTGTCATACTTGACAGTCCTGAAACTCTGTTTCAGAATAGTTACATATATTCTATATGCAATATATATGTTTACATAGAAAGTGCATTTTTTCCTATTTGCCAAGTTAAAAAACACCATGGTAATGCAAAGGTGAAGTTTTTATGGTTGTGTCAGATAAGCAACACTTCAAAGTGCTGTAGATTTATGATGGCTAAGCACTGATCACGAACAATCAGAAGAGATAAAAATAACTTAATCCATATCACTCCATGTTGTGTAAACTTTGAGGGAAAAATACTAATAACAAAAAAGTAATTAGCTTTTAATAGTTCAATTGCTAATTTTTTTTGATTATAGCAAGCAGAGACTAAAAAGAATGCAGTAGAACACAGAACACACTAGATTGCAGTTTTTAATGCACACATAAAACTTTATCAACACAGTTTATTCACTAAAAATGGTTAAAAAAAATCCAGATTCCTCTGAATTAAATGGAACTAAGATTTGGTTCTGTATGCATAATGTTATATGGGGCTAAATGAGATTATTCTGTACCTAAAATTTTATATATATGGCTTCTTTGTTTTAAAATTGGGACATGGAACACTTCTAGAATGATTATCTAATTAAAAAAATAAAGGAGAAAACTAAGAGATGATTTCTGTGTTGAGAACTAAGGTATTTTAATGCATAATTTTTACTAACTTCTAATGAATGTACACAAAAATATTTCACCATGAAAAAAGAAAACTGCTTCCTCAGAAGACTTTCCTAATGAAAGAAGAAATTGTACTTAACAACAAAAGAAAGATTAAAAAGTATAGTCTTACTATAGCATGTTAGGCTCATAGTAATAAGATTACAGAATTGAGCCCCTAGGAAATGACTCAGAAAATTAATTAAAATTGCTAATAAATCACACTGACTTGATGTCCTAATGGCAGTATACTGTGCACTGACACATCAGAGACATTAGTTTGATTTCTCTGTTCCAGTCTTCCTCCCTCCTTGAGGCAGAAAAGGCTAAGAGTATTGTGTCCAAGCAATTTTAAAGACAAGAGGATGAAGTCTTGGGGGACTTAGCAGCAATCCTTACAATTGACATTGGCTGATTCCAGACTGCATCCTTCTGTATCATGAGGCCTTCATGGGGATGTAGCATAAAATGAGATAAAAAGTGCTTTTTGGCTTAAGGAAAATGTCTTATTCTGTGAATGTGAAGGACCTAAGCTGAAAGCTGGAAGTATGAGGGAGAGGAGGGTAGAGAGTGGAGAAGGTGTTTGCATTTAATAGAATGATGACACTAAAAAAGAGTATAAGGAGCAATTCTTGTAGTCAGCTTAGGAGAAAAAAAAAAAGAGTATAGCAAAGAGCTGGGAAAGTACTGAAAAAAGCAAATGATATAGACACTTCTTGTATCATCCCTTTTGCTTTATTATAATTTATTTCCTGAAATGGGGAAGCTACTCTCAGATTAAATAATTTTCAGATACCTTCACYTTAAAAGGGAGCACAAGGAGCTTCTATTTGCCTATATATCTGAGAAATGGCTGCTGGTCAGCTCCTTGGAGCCTGTCAGTAGCAGTGTAGATAACCAGCTTAAACTATGTCTGAAAGGTTGGGCAGTACACAAGATGTCCATCATAGGACATCTGTGTCCATTTGAAGCTAAAGTTTCTCAAAGAAGTTCTTAAATGACAGTGAGGACATGTTAACACTCCTTCTTGTCTATTTTATCAGTCAAGAACAATTACATATTGAACTCAGAAGAACACAACTTAGCCAATATATCCTGGAAATCAGATTGATGAATATCTAGCTAATCAGCACAGTCTTTATGAAATAGAAATCTGTTACCACACAGGACAGAGACAACTGAGTCCAGGAAAAGCTGACAAGATAATTACTATAAAGTCATGGCTTTTGAACAAAGCTGTCCCACAGTTCATTATAGAATAATCAACATTCTTCCATTTCATGGTATATATATTCAATCTTTGATAATAAAATACCTGAGATCTTTCTGCATTTTTCACTAGTCTGTAAAGGTCCATCTTGAAATTCATAGCCCTGAGCCTTCCTAGTACAGTCACAATTTCTGTGCATGACTAGAATAAATTCCATAACTCCTTGTGTTGACAGAAGAATTTCAGTTTTGTAGCAAGGAGTCCTTAACAGAGTAAGAAGCATTAGTCTATATTCACACCACTGCTCAATACCAAACAGTATTTGCGATTCTTTTTTTTTGTTTTGTTTTGTATGTGTGTGTGTGTGTGTGCATAATGGTAAATATAAACACATATTTTTTACAGGATGCATCACCACCATGCTCTGGGGATACAACATCATCATAGAATGGAACACAAAACCTCTGAATAGTCTTGTTCTTACTAAGATACTTGTAACACACACAGCTCAGTTTATTAAAATTATTTTGTGATGAAATACATTCATCAGTCATGAACTGAAATGAGATTTTTCACCTGTGAGATTTCAAATACCTTGCTTCAGGAGAAATTCAGGATTCTTGCTGATTTTGAACAAAATGCAAGAATATGTAGGTCAATAGCAACATATGGATGGAGCTTTTCTATTGATTATGTATTTTCATTTTTTTTCAGAGTTCTAAAAGAATGGAATATGCCTGGACTCAAAAGAGCCGAACAAGTTAGGAACTCAGAAGTATTGCATAAATTAGCCGCTCCTGTTTGTAGGCATGAAAATGAATGTCATAAACAGAAACAATTAAACAATAAAACTAAAGGAATAGTGAAAAAAGGAGATTGAAATGCAGTCACATGAAGTGGATATTTACATTTTTTTCACTTAGATCTTACCACTTTAAAGTGTTCCCATCTTGTTTTTCTGTGAAATTACTTCTAAAAATCAGAGACTAATTTTTGTTCTTGATTTCACAATTTTTTTTTGCAGTATTCTTCTTTCAGACAAGGCAACTCAGACTTACTGGGTTTACTTGCAGGAGAGATCTTTAAATGCAAGTTCACATATTCTTTGGAAATACAATTTCCCAGTGATTCCATTCTCACTGGTCCCCTCTACACAAATTAAATATGAATTAAAAAATATACACCAGCTTTGGCTTCCCATCCTCTTTTTTACATAATACTCAAAGTCTGAACTCCCCATATTTTGAAGGTTGTACATATTTTTCTCATACTCTGTTAACAAGCCGCAAGTTTGGACCTGAGAAAGAGCTTCAAGAATCACTTTTCTTACCCCATTATCAACTATACCAACTATTAGTATATTCCTAGTAAACACACAGATTGTCTGCACACATTTATTTCCTCCCATATAACTTAGCTGTCATTGTAGTTATATTACAAGAGAATTACAACAGGCTAAATTTCAATTTCATACAAGGATTTTTTTTTCCACAATAAAGATAGTGAAAACCAGTTTGCCTGAAAAGGCTGGGGAATTTCAAGCCTTGAAAGTATTCAGGGCTTCCACTCAACTGAACAAAATCCGGAGTAATCTGTTCTAAGGCATCCATGCTCTGAAAATGGTTTGGACTTTGAAAGGTCCCTTCCAACCTGTGGTGATAAGGCAGTAAAATCTTTTCTGAACAGGTCATAAAATAATCTGTGTGGCATTGCCATACAGGCAGAATTTAGGCTACCAGCAGAACAGTGGGGGTAACTGCAGGACCACGCTAGTCCTGCCGGTAGCATTGCATTGAGCAGCACACCAAGTTTGAACATACTATCTGTGCTGCTGTCTTCAGATTACTGTGAATATAATCCCATATCTGAGGTGAGTGGCACAATTGATGGATTATATTATGGGTGTCTGATTTCAAGCAGAAATTACATCTTTGTCATAAATGATTTCTACAATTGAATCAAAAGGTTACTCTTTGACAAATAAACCTATTTTACTGGAAAAGTCCTAAGCAAATTTAAAGGACTCCTTTCTAACCACAAAAGACTGAATTTAGTTATTTGATTTGAAGGCTGCCTGTTTCTGTTGAGAAACAGAATGTTTCTGTTGAGAAACAGAAAAGAAACAGAGATCCATGCTGGTATGTAACTGTGAGAAAAAGAAAAAAAAATCTATCCCAAAATCTCCACCTCTCTAACATCATTATAATCACTGTACACAGTACTTCTCTAGAAAAGAACTAAGATTATGCTTACTTTACCCAGATTTGTTTAAAGCTCGAGCAGAATTTTGTTTAGAATCAGAAATTATATCAATCATGAACTTCTGCTAGTGTCAGTCATAACATGAATACAGAGATAAATATTGATATTACACTTCTGACTCAATTTTGAAGGAGAGAAACAAGCAGTATAAGTCAAACGAAAAACTTCACAAAACTAGAATGCATTCAGAACATAAAATAAGGGTAATGATAATAGTAACATTAATAGGGTAATGGCAGGTAAYGGAGGTTGCCATATCAAAGCAAACTGTTTTCTAATGTAAAAAGATACTTCTCTAGCACCCTAGTGAGTAAAGAACAAAAATGAAATGAAATCTCAGCTGAAAACATGCAAGAGGGAAGAGTGACAAGAGACCTCAAGATTGCGTTAGTGATGTGTCATTGCCAAAGGGGATATATTGTGTTTCTCTGGTTTACAATAAGTTCATCATTGCTTTGGAGAAGAAAATAAATTTGCACTGGGACTCTCTTTGGTGTCTCATTCATTTCACAAGTGAAAGGGTACAGAATGTACCTGAAGGTCCTGCTTCTCTTCTCAAGCATCCCCTGCAGAACTTGTCCCATACAAGTGTGACAGTGGTAACTACTATGACTTGAAGCAGTACAGACATGCTGCTATTACTACTTGTATCAGCTACAGAGTGTTAAGCTTCTCCTTTGGTGATTTAATTCTTCCTTCATCTGTAAACTTTCTTTCTTTTCAATGTAAAAGGAATRTAAGAATGTGTGAGTAAGGAAAGATTTCTTTTTATAAAGTCCCAAAGGCTATTGTGTAAAATACCCGGGAACCATTACAGTAGAAATTTGAAGCCAATTGTTGAAGGGGAAAGAAAGAAAG